ATAATTTTATGAACTGCTCTGCAAGCATTAAAATGGCATCTACAAAATCCATATGATAGATGTAGGAAATTTCTTAAGTATCTATTCCTTTGTAGAATGTTGGAATGAAAGAAAATGTGTTGACATAATCAATAATGGTATATTATACTATAAGAAGGAAATGTTTAACCTGGAGCAGTAAACAAATTCTACACAACTATACCTTCTTTTAGCATTATTATCTAAATCATGAGATCATCCTGCTCTGATACATATTGTTGTGGGCTTATCATGTAGCCACTCCTGTACTGTACATGTCCAAAGAAGCCGAGACCATATCTGTCTTGTTACTGTTGACTTCTAGCACTTTATACTTGGCAAATAGAGCATTTGGTGAAAAATGCCATTTAATTATGAATGAATCAACTATATTAGGACTGTCATCTACGAAAATGAACTTATCATTAAATCTGAAGGTTGCATTAATTTTCTGCTACTGGTTTCTTTTGGGGGTTAAAGGCTTATGTATGTAGAATCTTTTTCTCACAGCCAAAGTCTGGCTATTCCATAATTCTAGGGAGAATATCAATAGAATATCAAGGTAGCCTTGAGGCAAGTAGATCAGGAGTGTGAAAGGAGAGAATAGGAAAGCAGGTGGCATTCATGACAACAGAGTATTTTTAAAAAAGCAGATAAGATTTTGATAGATTTATATACACACATGCACATAAGTTTCTTTTTGGAAGTGGTACTTGGGATTGAATTCAGGACCTCTAGGTTGCTGGGTTAGTTCTCTACTATTTGAGCCATGCACCATAAATATTTTTATAGCTAATAGTACATACACATACACATATATATTAATGTATATTTATATATACTTATGTATCTGTATAGGAAATAACATATGGTGATAATGACACTACTTTTTAGGTGGTGATTTTATACAAAAATGTGGCATTAATCTTTTAAATATTTAGTTTGTATCACCTTCCTTCCAAAATACTATTTTGATACAGTATTTTTTCAAAATAATTTCTAAATAACTTAAAAATTACTACATTGAAAAAGTAACAATCTTGCAGTGAAATTCAATGAATATCTTTGCATGGGACATCTAAAGTGAACTAATGTTGAGATTAAAATGATGACACTTGTTGGAGAAGCCAGAGTAAGTCCAGAAATGCAAGGATATATGGAAATTGAGCCAAGAGAGTATGTGAAACAATGTGATGTTATGTGTCTTTCTCCTGGGATGAGCTAAAAGGTTTACAGTGGTCAGCATATGTATGCACTTAGCTCTGATAACTTTTTCAGGAACAATAAGGTGAATTAAATTTAGTATTGGTCCATGCAAGAGTCAGAGGAATAATAATTTATGTTGTCTTTTATTTCCTATTGTCCAGAGTTTACCCAATCCAGAACCAACACCTCTTCTTTTCTGCCTTACACCATCCAGTCCTTTAATGGCCATTTAGGAAATAAGATCTCATGCTTACAGGTTCGAATCCTTTCAAGTATCATCTGGAGACACAATCCAGGTCATACAAGTCCTGACCAAAAGAATAGGAGATAGTCAAGGATCTGAGGATGGACACAAGTTTCCAATTCTATCCACCCTGTATAACACCCAAATGTGCTTTTGCCCTCTAATAGTGGTTGTTTTTGGACGATAGGATTAGTAGAATTTGTACAGGTTCATCAGGCTTTGTGCTTAAAGGAGACCTCTACTTGGTTTAATGCTTTGCTTCTGTTTTTTACTTTTTAAACAAATGGTACTGCTCTGTGGAAGAGGGAATGACTTTGCTGTAATCCAGTAGGGATTTGGCCACCCTTTCTTTTAAGGATTGTGACAGAGACATGCAGCATCTTTGTTACCAAACTAAGCTTATTTTGCCCACCACACAATATGATAATCACTGAAATAATGAAGTTTTCTATAAAGAGTTTATTCACATGGTGGCTAAGAGTGTGAAGATGGGAGAGTCTGTTTTCAAATCTTTCTTGGAATAGTGTTTTCAGGGTTTATATGGGATAAAGAGGCAAGGTAGTATAAGGCCTGGAGAAAGGTGATTAGAAGTAACCAGGAGAGAAATAACACATGGTGCCTAATGTGTCATCACACTTCATGACTACTCATAGGAGGAAGGTTCTGAAAATGGACACATTAGCGTGATGAGAGTGGCAACTTGCCTTGTCAGACACTTGGTCAACCCCATGTCAAGAAGCAATTGTTTCATCTAGTTCGAGTCAGACATGTCCTGAATGTTCTTGTGCCACATTTTCCTACTCAAAGGGACTTAGATATTCCTCAATTTTCGTCTTCTAGTTCTCTTCATTGCCTCATTGCTAAGAAGTGATTGAAGGCCTTTGGCTTCCACTTCAAAGACTAACCTCAGAAAGCAACCTTTCGGCTGCCTTTTCTTGGTTCTAGATTTTATAAGACTACAAAGCTCTTTGACTTCTGTCTTATGATCCTGTTCCAAAGACTGTCTCTTTCACCAATTTCAAGATTATAGTGAACCCATGTCCACAATATCAGTGTTCATTCTTCATGACCTATGAGCAGCATCAGAGGAAACTTACATGCTTTCCAGGAAACTGCATTCACCTGGCTTATATCTTACTCATTGAGCACCACTTCTCAAATGTTGGTTTGGCTCTTTCTTCTTACTCTTCCTAAACAGAGATGTCATGCAGCTCTAGGGTTCACTGCTTCAACTCAGAACTAGTTTTGTGTGCCTTGCTGGTGGTATTACACTTTCCTTATTGAGAACATAGCTAAATAATGCCACAGAGGTAAATAAGGATGTTCAAATCTATCTGTTTGTCTCACATGGAAAGCAAATATTTTTCTTCTGTATTGAAAGTATGTTTAAAAGTAACACTACTAAAATTCTAGAAATAAGAAGTGAGTTTCAATAATATTTTTGCTTTAATTTCTGATAAATCAGGATGATGGCTATCCAGCACTTAATTCAGCATTTTTATAACAGTATATTGATAGAAATATATCCATGGGATTACCAATATAGGTATTAATGATATAAGTACAGAGAGTCATAAATAAAATTTTGGTTTATTTATACCTTTTGATTACTTGAATTTGGTTGACCATAAATGAAAAAATTAAAATAAAATATGCCGACTTCTTCTAAATACACCTATATACAACATTGACTTTGTAATGGATGAAGACACTCCTCCCATCTATAGGACTGATTATTTCCCTTTGAGGACAAAATACATGGGAATTATGCTTGGGAACATTCTCACATTGCCTAGAATAGACTATGGTCCCTAAGAGCAGTTGTTCATGTTGAAGTGTCAAATGTTTCCAATCCAGAGTGAAAAGTGTAGTCATGGGGACTCAGGAAGAGCCAATCAGGGGTGAGGATGGCCCTCTTTGGGGACCCAAGTTCAGTGTCTTTTCTAAAAGCCCATGAAGTTTCACTGACAGCACTCACTCCTCACAGCCTCACCTCTAGAACTGTTTTCATTTCTGTTGTCTTCATAGTTGAGCCCATCTTTTTCACCTGGAAGGAGTCAAGCCAGAGGAACCTTCCTGCCTCTGCACCAAAGGCAGATATGCTTGTGTTTCTATTCTTAGGAGTTTTCCCTAACACTTGCCCATGCTGTCTTAGGATGTCATCTGCATATGTCTCTGCTCTAAATGTTGGACATTTGTGAGATTTTCAAGATGTATTGGATTCATTTTCTTTGTTCAATATTGCTTCAGGGGACTGAGAGTGGGGTTAGCACTTTATGCAGGAATAGCCTACCAAATTTTCTGCCATATCTAAAATTCCTGATTTATTTTTTTCCGCTGTATTTGGTAGGTGTTCTTGGGCTAATTCCATTGTTCCCTTTATTACTCTTTTGCTGTCTATACATGATAGTGCCATGCTGCTTATTCCCTCTCTGTGTCAGGGAGCAAAGCATCCTTTAACTATCTGGCACTGGTGATGGTCATGCAGCAAATGTTGGTGGGAAGTTATGGATGTGGATAAAATCTGAAGGTCTTCAGTGCTAATAGAGGAATCTGCCACACTGGGCAAGGGAGAGGAAGAAAAGGAGGGGGATTCTTGATGCGTGGATGAATTCATTCACCTCAGTGAATGCTTTGTAGCACAACAGAAAATCTCTACCACTCAACATGCACAGACAAGGTAGTGTCAAGGCTCATGAACTTTATCTAATGTTTACCTTAATACTGCATCAATTATACTTGAAAGCAGTTTTAAACAATGTCTTAACAACTGTTGCACTACTAAGCATGAGTTAGAGGTACAGAAAATGTCGACAAAATGAATAAAGTAAATCATTGAATGTGGAAAAAAAGAGATTTGGATTTAAATAAATGTGTGTTTATAGGTGAGTGTGTGTACGTGCATCTGCATGATTTTGCAAAAAGTAAAATGATAACAGAATATTCTCAGTATCATATATTTGAGGAATAAGAACCTGCATGACATCATTAAATCAATCTGAGTATTTATAGGAAAAACTGTGGGCAATGTATGGCTAGGTCTGTGTGCAAACCTAATTTTGAAGTGTCTGTAAGACCTCATTGCTTAGGAAGCTCATGGCAAATTTAGATTCTTGTTGACTTTTGTATACATTAGAATTTTGTAATGTTCCTTGCCCAAAACTAGAGTAGCCAGATTAAAATACACAGAGAATGCAAAAAGAATGCAAATGAATACACCTTCATTTGCATATCAGTACATGAGATTTTAGCTTTTCCTTCATCATCAACTAGAAATTACTGGAGGCCACTCTGTTTGTAAAGGAACACCATCCTGGATGAAGCTCAGTTGAGCTGTGTGGGAAAACACATTTCCATAAAGAAAGTTAAGAACCCAGTGATTGGAAAATCTTGACATTTGATTGTTTGCTATTGTAGATGAGAGTTTTAAAAGCTGAGGAGGTTATTCAAGCGTCAGTTACAGTTTTTCAAATAAATGTGTTAAAAATCTTCAGCAGTGACATTAGAATTTGGAGCATTTTTCTTATGGACAATGGATTTTGTTCTATCAAGCATATTTATAATCATTTTAACTGCGGAATTCATAATGGGAAATTTAGGAAACGGATTCATAGCCCTGATGAACTACACGGACTGGGTCAAGAGAAGAAAGATGTCTTCAGTTAATCGAATCCTCACTGCCTTGGCAATATCCAGAATTAGTCTGCTCTGGTCAGTAATGATAAGTACATTTATATCTATGGTGTATCCACCTTTCATGATGACTGCAAGCATGCTAATAATTCTTAATCTTCCCTGGACAGTGACCATCAATTTTAGTATATGGTTTGCTTCAATCCTCAGCATCTTTTATTTTCTCAAGATAGCCAATTTTTCCAACTCTATTTTTCTTTACCTGAAGTGGAGAGTTAAAAAGGTGGTTTCAGTGACATTGCTGGTGTGTCTGTTGCTCTTGTTTTTAAATATTGCCCTGGTAAATGCAAAATTTATCTGGACTGATGGATCTAAAAGAAACATGTCTTACAGCTCCAGTATGAATAGCCCTGCAGAATCTTATAGGCTTTTTTTAATCATCAATACTCTCTTCCTCTCAGTACCCGTTGTTGTGTCCCTGACAATGTTTCTCCTGCTAATCATCTCCTTGTGGAAACATCACAAGAGGATGCAACACACATCCAAACGACCTGGAGATGCCAGCACCAAGGCGCACATAAAAGCCTTGCAGACTGTGATTGCCTCATTCTTACTATATAGTATTTTTTTTCTTTCTATTTTTGTTCAACTTTGGAGCTCTGAGTTACTGAAGAAAAAGCTTTTCATTTCATTTTGCGAAGTCACTGGAATGTTTTCCCCTTCATTCCACTCATATGTCCTGATTTTGGGAAACAGTAAGCTGAGACAGGCTTCTCTTTCGGTGTTGTGGTGGCTGAGGTGCAGGTGCAAAGGTGTGGAAATCTTGAATACTTAAAGTATATCAGAGATCATCTTGTAGAGGGATCAGTTTCTAAAAAATCTTCTCTATTATCAATTTTTGCTTTCTTTTTCAGTAATCTTCCATTTCGTGTTACTTTGTGAATTTTATAAAAGTTCTGTTTGGAATAAACACTATCTGAATATATTACAATTCAGCAGAATATATACAATGTATTTATTAATATGGTAACTTTAGCAGAATATATATGTTTATAAATATACTTATTCAAATGCACATGGATATAAATAACAATGTCTCTGCATTACTTACTCTAATTTTTGTTGCAGCAATTAACCATTTTGAGATTTTAACATATAAAATATATATGTGCATGTATGTCTGAGAGATATAGTAAAAAAGTTTTTTATTTTATCCACATCAATATAATTTTCATAATTTAGAATATGTGAGAAAAATTTCAAAGACTTCAGAATGAAGAATTCTTAGTTGTGTGTAGTACCTCACACCTGTACTCTTAGGTACTTGAGAGGGAGAGACTGGGTGGTTCTCAGTTCAAGGCCAGCCCAGACAAAAAAGGTTGCAAGACCCCAACCGAACCAATAAAAAGCTGGACTTGTTGGTAGGTGCCTATCATTCCAGCTATCCAGGAAGCATAAATAGAAGTCTCATGGTCCAGGCCAGTGGATAAGTGCATGATCCTATCAGAAAAATAAAGCAAAATGCACTGGGTGGGAAGAGGGTGGCTCAAGTTGTAGAGCACATGCTTAGCAAGTGCAAGCCCTGAATTCAAACTCCGGTAATGGCAAAAAAATACATATAAAGAGTTCTGAAAACACATGTGTCATTATTATCATTTGGGAATCCATTGCCTTTTTCTGTGTAATCTTCAGGTTTATGTCACAATCCATTTTAATTTTACTGCATGACTATATCAAATCATGACTTATGATGGTTTTATAAAACACCAGTTGGTCATGCCCCAACATACTTGTATTTTACTAGGGTTGAAACAAATCAGGTTGTCAAAGGAACCGAAATTTATAGTATCTTAAGAGTGGCAAATTTATAATTAACATGGCTCTTCTTATGTTTGTATGTTATTATTATGTAGGTAGCCAATAAAAAGAGGACATTGTAATTTTCCTGTGGTAAGTAATTTGTGTAAGTCATACTTTTCTAATGCTTACAATTGTGTAATGCTATTTTTCATGTGAAGAAATGAGATATCAAGATGTTAAAAGTCTAACCAACAGAGAATTCCAGCTGAGAGCTAGACTTGTAACCTCCAGGAGATGGTGATTCTCCCCCAAACTCATATGAAACATCAGCAGGAAGAAGATGATCCCTGTCATACCTGGAATCTGGTAGAGAAAAAACATACAAAAGAATACACAATTGTGCTTGCATCAAATGTTCTAGTGTTTTCTATGATGTTTGGTACCTGGTTAATGTGTAGTACACAGAACAGTAGAGTCATTGCTTCTGTTTGTTCATTTGCTAATCAGCAGTCAGCTGCCCTACAGAACTCTCGCACGTGCTTTGCCATTTTTTTTTGTAGTACTGGAGTTTGAACCCAGGGCCTCATACTAGATAAGCTAGTGTGCTACCACTTGAGCTACTTTGCAAACCACTTTTTGTATTGGGTATTTTTGAGATAGGGTCTTGTGAACTATTTGCCCAGGCTGATCTCAAATCATGATTGTCTTAATCTCTGCTTCATGGGTAGCAAGGACTACAGGAGTGAGCCATTGGCATCTGGCTTGTGCTTTACATCTTAAGCTCATTATCTTGTCTTTTGCAGATAGAAAATTATATCATCGGAATATAATTATTTACTTTTATTATTTTACTTCTTCATTCTGATTATTGTTAATTCTTTTATTTGGCTTGCATAGTTCATGAATGGCTTCAACATTCTAATTTTGGAGATAACTGGCATGTCTGTTTGTTAATGGAGAGTTTTTCCCCCAGTGTTTTACCAGTAAGCATCATGCTCATTTCAATCTTGACATAAATGTTTCTTAAAATCATCTTCAGGGACTTCTTGTATGAAAGTCATTACTTAGTATAATTAATATTCATTAAACAAAAACCAGGAAAAAAGACATTACTTTGTGATCTTCCAAAAGAGTCTTTAAACTTTGACTAGATGTAATTGCCAAAAAGTGTGAAATGTGTCGTATTGTATGGATATAATTAGATATGTCCTTCTCCTTTGACCAATTAAAATAATAACATTTTAAACTTGATACATAACAAAATTTATATCTTCTAGTTTATGCATCCTGTATCCAATGTCATGTAAATATTCCCATTTGCATATATCATCAGAAATTTCACCATCAAAGGGAAAGAGAAGTTCAGAAAGTGCTTACAAAATAATGACAGGGAATATTCAAAAGGGGAAATAACCAATTTGAATTGCTTGAGAAAAATTTTCAATCATATGCTAGAAGACAACTGATTCATATGTCAGAGTGTGGAAGAATGCAACTACAGTTTTAAAGTGTTAGCCTGTGTATGTCACCAAGGATTTAATCAATTAGTATTACCTAATATAAAAAGATTGGGCTTATTTCCTATGGACACCTCCTCACTAAAAATGTTACTAGTCACTGATATTACTAGGCAACTAAATGTTGCTTCAGAAAGATTGTTAAGAAGTTGGGCATGGTGGTACATATCTGTAATCCCAGCACTCTGGAGTAGAGTTAGGAGTTTAAGGCCACCGAGTTTTGCAGTGAAATCCTGTCTTAAAAACAAAACAGTCTGGGCAAATGTGGCTTATGCCTATAATCCTAGCTACTTGGAAGGCTGAGATCATGAGGATTGTGGCTTGAGGCCAGCCCAGGCAAATAATTAGTGAGAGTCCACCTACAAAAATAATCAGAGCAAAATAGATTACAGGTATAAGTCAAGTGGTAGGGAAACTGCTTTGCAAGCACAAAGCCCTGAGTTCAAACTCCAGTCCCATCAAAAAAACAAGATAAACAAAAAATCTAACAGAAAGACTGTTATAGACTATATTGTTTGCCCCCCAAATTCAAATGTTAAATCTCTAAACCACAATTTACTATATTTAAAAGTAGGGCATTTATGGACATCACTAAGATTAAATGAGGTGATAAGCACAGACCGTACTCCAATAGCATCTGTGTGCTCAGGAGAAATAAACAGACACCAGGAGTCTGTGCACATAGTGAAAGGCCATGTAAAAAGTTTGCCTACAAGTAAGGAAGAGAGGTCTTTCCAGAATCCATCCCTGCTGGCTTCTTGATCTTGGACTTCCAGTCCCCAGAATTGTGAGGAAGTAACTTTCTATTGCTAAAGACACCAGTCTGTTATGGCATGACAAAACATTTGGTAACATATGCTGAGAGAATGGCATTGGTTTCATATAATTTATGGTAAAATTGAAATATTCTTGTTCAAAGAAAACTGTTGCTAAGATTCTACATGAAATGAACTGAAAATTCATACATATTCAATTTCATTCTTCATGAATTCTTTAAGAAATCTTTTATTAAACAAAAATATCTACATGACACTTATTGGTAAGAGTGACAAGTGCAGAAGGTTGAAAAGATAGTGATGTAATTCACAGATGATCAGAAAGAAAAGTGTTACGTGCATTAATAAATGCATGTTACCTTGTGAAAACAGTAAATAAACTACTAAAAAGGTAGACTTGAAAAAAGAATAGTAGCAATTCCATCAAATTAAGACAAAGCAAAAATGGACTGGAAAGGCAAAGCATGACTACCATGAGTAGAACATAAAAATTGTTCAAAGGTGTCAAAAATCACAAAGTGACTTACCTTGGTTATTAAAAAAGAAGGAACACTCCAATTTCATGTCTGTACATATTTAACAGACATAGCTATGCCTTATATTACATATCATATATTTTATGGAGTAAATTCATATATTTTCAACATTTATATATTTTTATTTCATCTTTCATACAGGAATAACACCTAAAAGAAATACATGAAAAATGTCTAGAAATAATGATATAGGAGTAAAATGGTCAAAAACTATTAGATAATTCCTTCTTCCTTTCTTGACTATTGACAGAGCTCTAATCTTATGCTGTGACTGGTGTTGTCTGAGCTACTGAACTTTTGGACACCTTTCTAAGATGAATCATGGATAAGCTTTTATCTCATTAAATCATTAAGGCTTACTGATTTGTGCAGCTTAACTTCCTTATAGTATTGATATACAGGCAGCCTTTTGTGTGTGTGAAGGGTTGGTTCCAAGCTTCCTGATAGACCCCAACTGTATAGATACACAATTCTCATATGTAAAATGGTGCAGTATTGGATATTAACTATACAAACAATCATCTCTAAATTAATTATAGTACCCAATATAATGCAAATGCTATGTAAACAGTTGTTACGTTCTCCTGTTAGAAAATAATGACAAGAAAAAGTGTCATTATTCAATATGTTCAATGTAGACAAAAATTTTCCCTGTTCTTTCCAGTTCCCAGTTGGTTGTACTTAAAGATATTTATCCTGAAAATATGGATAGTTGACTATAACAATGAAGGAAGGGATTAATGATATATAAAATGAAATGAAGTATGCTAAAAAATGGATTCTTTCTAAGAATGAATAAGCAGAGAAAAATCAAATATAGATGATATTAGAAACAAAATAATGGTCTGTAGGAGAACAAAACATAAAAGAATATAAGCATACTATTTACTAAAAGGAAAAATTTTATATAAATTGGACATTTTCAATGCTTGGATTGGTGAGATGACCTGCTTCTCCAGGCCAGGCTCCTGAAGTGTGTGGTGGACCACAGCACCCAATCATCACCAAGTTGTCCAGTTGTTCCTGAAACAGTTTTATGTATGGGAAGGCATCTGTGAACTGTTTTTCTAACACTCAGGAGAAGGATTGTGCACAGGTCTAGACAGGGGTTTGCATCCACTTGTGGCTTGGCCCAAACAATCATTTCTGTGTGGTTTCCTCAGTGTGTTGTTCTTAGTTTTGTCATGTGGGTGTGTGTATATGTAT